GTTATTAACTAGAACATATTGTTCCTTTCAAACTTGTAATATATGCTAATTGCAGTTTGCTGTTCCTTCAACCTTCTCGGCAAATTTTGAGCTTTTCCGTGTTAACTATCAAACCAGTGTCAATATTCATTTTTTTTAATGGTAAATGCATTTCTATTGTTTCAGCATTCCCGCTTGTTCTTTTTGTGATAATTTAAAGTTCATTTACACTTCAGTTCAATATTCCATTTTTTAAGGAGTTTTTCTTTAAATTTTGGTACTTCTGTTTTTCTTTCCTTGTTTTGAGCAAATTTAGTGTCAAGCAAATGCTATCTTATATTGTTTTTCTTTACTTTTTATTCCATCCACTTTTAGTCATTTTCACACATTTTTGTTTTGAGTAAGTTTAGTTGAAGTCATATAAATTCTCCCAAATGTCTGGACTAACATCTTCTGATAGTTCCAATAGGTCAGGTATTCAAAAACTCTCATTGAATATTTCAATTCTTTTAAATCCCTTAACATATGTATCAACGTGAAAACTGATTAGTCTGTGCTAACTAGGGAAATCTTATTGTTACGTGTATAAGGTTGTGAAGTGTTATGTTCTCGGTAGCAAAACATCATAACCGAACTGACTAAAAAGGCTGAACAATAAACCCTCAAATGTGATTAAAATGTTATAACGTTTAACGTCAAGCAGGTCAATTCACCAAAATAACGACATTTTATCAAATAAGAAATTCCCAAAAATGTCAGTCAATTATTTATTTTGCATATATTGAATTGATAGGATTCTAGACATATCTCCACTTTGTCTGTGTTAATAAGGACGCAACAGGTTACTGCAAAGAGTTAATGGTATTCAAAAAGATAATGCATAATGCAATCCAGCACAAAGCCGCCCCGAGAACGATAGAGATAATGGATTGCAGCCGGAATGGTATGAAATGTTAGTTTTACATTATTATAATTCCGGAACTGTCTAGACTCTTCTCCGGAGTCAATAATCACGTCGCGATGCTCAAGCAAACTGGTTAGAACGCACATGTACATGTCAGTTAACACGTGGTCGATATACACCAGTTGTTAATGTGATTTATATGTGTGAAGTCATCACGCTTCTTCAATAGTCACATTCATTCTTAACGCATCATATGCACATTTCTGAAAATATCTTTTCTATATCGCTATTAATTTTGTTTTCCCTAAAATATTATTTATATATCATAATCAGCGGTAAAATATATAGTTTGTCTTTTTTTCAATATTAAACTTTCGTAGTTTAGTTCGTAGTAAGGAACACAAAGTACAGGTTAGATCGTATTTACTTCCGCTTTGAACGTTTAAACTTAAATAAAGTTATAATTGAAGACCGCTAAAATCGATTATATCCTTTAATTTGGACCCGTGATCGAATCTGAACATAGAATTTATAAGTATAGAAAACATCTTCTAATGATTTGTTAAAAACGTTGTCCATTTTAATATATATCCGTCGTATAACAAAACTCACATTTTGATTATTTGAACACGCTCTTTCAAAAGTCTGACTCAGTCGAAAGGATAACATATTTACGTCAATATAAAATACGGAATGAGCTGCATTGAAGTACACTATGAAAAACGAACTGATCTGAAATGTCAGATAGAAAACAGATAAAACATGGATATTGCCAAAGTCCACGAACCAGGAATAATTGAGTTAAAGAAGGATAAAGAAATTAGATCGCGGTCCAACTTGGCGGCCCTCCCAGCAAGTTTCTGATTATGTAGCCTGGGACACGATAAGTCCTGTTGCACCCTCGGTATGATATATATGTTTCTATAAATATTAATTTATTCATTTATAGAAATATAATAATATATATGACACCTATTAGTTTAATGGCTATCTACAACAGTTGGTGAAGTAAGATAGTTTATGTCAGAGTTAATATGAAGATATTAACTTTAGTTACTTCACAGAATTATTCTCACGTAATATACACACACAAACAAAGAATTCTGTAGATAGGATATAACTAACTAAAAACATTGTGCGATAAAATAGTTAATAGTTAAAATAAAGTTACTAAAACTTGAAACAATGCTCTTCTTTTTTTCTGTTAAATTCCTGATTAAAATGACAGTATTATGAATATCAACCATAATAATGAATTCAGAAATATATATCATAAACATCCGATTAGTATTCTCTTTAAGTCCGTTTAAACCATCTGGCACTGTTATTACCCAAAAAAAGAAAACATGATTTATATACATGCCAGCAGAATATTTATTGATAAGTTGAGACACCATTCGAGTTGTTCGAATAAGCTTCAACTTTTTTTTTTTATTAAATTAACGATTATCGAAGATCATACAAAACCCATGTTAAATTTAGAGCCCAGCATTATAAATTTATTGTACGTCTTTTTCTTACAACATTGATATAAGCATAAGCTCATGTGGCCATTTATTTGTAAATATTTTGTATATAATTGTCATTATGATTGCATTATCTTCGAAAACATATACGAATGCTTTGGGATCATGAATGTTCATTGTGAGTTTAATACCGAATTCATATGAATTACACAAGAAACAAGTATGAATATAGCATAGGATGTCATGTAAGTGCACAGCACAAGGTTGCCACCACGAACCGGAAGTTCAGACATCTTTAAATATTATTCATAACGACCTGTAGGTCAAGTGTTGATTTCATGGTGAGCCACTTACATGTCATTTCGGTGGAGATGGGATTACGAGTGGGGAACATTCCCTGTGCCAAAACAAACTCCGCAGCATCGTCCATAGCCAAGTGTGTACTGCGTTCAGGTTTATCTCGGAATATAAATTGATGTAGACCGAAATGTACCTTTATAATGGGTTCGACACAATTTTGTGTAATTATTTCAAAACAGAAATCAAACATACCCCTATCTAATGTCCTAAAAAAATACTTTTTCTTTTCGAAGGGCTACTTATAATTGTTATGTATGACATCAGAACCTCAAAGTACCTTCATGATATAATTGACAAACTATCATAATTATACTTCAATGTCAGATAATAATCAGTTTGAGTTATATCGAAGTAATTGCGACGCTTTCTTCTAAATATTTCTTAATATGTTATACGGATTTTAACCGAAGCTCCTTTAGATATATTACACATTTCAACTAATATTCTACAGTCACATTCAACAAATACATGAAATCGATATTGATATTCTTTTTAGCATTGTTCAATACCTGAATGAATAGTACATTTCCGATAGATACGTATTACATATGATATTTGATACAGTTTAATAGTAAGGGGTGAAGTTGAACTCCATCGCTATAACGCTAACACACAAAGGTTACCTCTGAGTATAAATTGTTTTTTTTAAAGATAATTCTTTCCCGTTTCTTTTTTGTGTGCTGAATCTGTGGAACACATTTGTGTTTCATGTTGTAAGAATCTATCAAACTTATATTAAAAAAAATAAAATTTAAAAAAATAAAAACTTACAATAGATTCATTCTTATGCATTCGTTGTATTACTTTTGTGTTGTCTTTATCGGTATCAAAAGACAACAAATACATCTTCGTGGTAAGGTTTTCATGTTGTCGTCTATCTCGGTAGGAAATATTTCGCTATTTATATTTCCAACTGTGTTTTCGTGAGATTTTTCCCTCGGTCTGTTTAATAAAATAAGATTTTGGTTATTCGATGCTTATTTATCAGTAATAAGTACAACTAGATAACTCACACTGAGAATATTATTGTCGTTCCTATCTAGGCAACACAAAATATCTGTATTCAGTTATTTGATAATAAACTTTAAAGATACATAGCTATGAGTATTTGCACTCCAAAATTTGATATGCAATATTTGGCTGTGAAAAAAATATTTTGCAAATTAAAATACAAATAATTTCCGGATTGCAAAGCACAAATTTACAATTGAGATATTTTGCCACAGGTGCGAGACACATCTGACATTTAACTTATTTTATGATCCGCATTTTTGAAACCTTATAGGCAATGGTTTTTTTTGGTTCAAAATCACGTGATATTTTCGTAGCGTCATTTCTCATAAGTCATACTTTCTGCTGTAATATATCATAATTCGTTTGTTGTTTGAAAAGCCTGTTGTTAAAAGGTTATGTTTTTAGTTTCTCGGATAAGATAAGTGTAGAGTAGTGAGCACGCAGCAGTACCGCTCTACTAGGTTAATCGTAAGGCCGATTTCATTCACTAAACGAAGGATATGCTAATGAAAAAATGTCACATTTCTCACTGCTTAAATCTTAACGAAACTGTGTTATATAATTCAATATCATTTTTTCGAGCAATATATATACAAAAGAACTTACTTATTTAAAAGCCCAATGAGCAGGTATCAAATAAAAACACATCAATATAGAGGGATTCATTTTTTTCTTTATGAAAATGCTTCAGACATTTAATGTAGCCTACCTATCTCACATATTTGGACAGCAAATATAACTTTTGTGTATGCAAAGTAGTGACTGATAGATTACTTTCCAAACATAACATATTAGCATAATTAAATCCGTTAGAAAAAATAGAATACATGTCAACTGGTAACTGTTGTTATAAGCTGACGCCCTCACAACTTTTGTCGTCACTCATGCCAACGATCGCACTTAATAACTAGGAGATTTGCTATATTTTGCATGTAGTTTTTTGTTTTATGGAATTTGGAGCTGTTATGTTTTTTTCATGACTGACAAAAGAAGTGTTCATCGTAATTAACTGGTTGGCAACAGTCCCTACTTCATCTCCCGTAATCTCCAATCTTACACTGTTACTCTCTAAAACGGGTTTTAAACTCTGCTCTGTCTGCTTAAGTGCTTGAACCAGATGTATAAACCTCACCGCTAAATGTCAAAATACCAGAAACGAAAACTAAAGAAAATATAATATATTGATGAATACAATATGGAGGTCGTCAATTTTTACAAAAATTATTGCACTTTTGTTTTCTCTTTTCCGGAACTTTTTTTTCTTGGCGGACGAATAGGGCGGTGGGAAGTCCCCTAGTGATGGATCCGAATAGCATATGCCGAAAGAGCAGACGACTTGCGGGAAAACAGCGGGAGATTTGTCGGAATGAGATTGAAATTGTAGAGGAAGTGGCAAACGGCGCTAAATTGGCTCTAGCTGAATGTCAGTATCAGTTCAGAAATAGGAAGTGGAACTGCACAACCTCCCGGAGAACGCTGGCACGTGTACTGCGCCGGGGTAAGTCTCATTTAAACTCTCCTGGATCAAGCGATTTAATTTTCTATGGTTAAATTTGATGATGGAGGGATTTATGATGGATTCGAAATACACGGTAGCCAAGTTTCAAAATCATAATCAAATAGGAAATTTGCTAATATAGATGGTTTATCTTTAATGGTTTCAGATGGATAAAATCTAGGAAACATACCCTAGGTTAATTAATAGCACACGGCAAAGCGCCAGCAAATGAATTAGTATTTAAACATAATCAGACCGGTTGTATATCAAGCTCCATAACGTGTCCGATGGTGATTTTATGTTTTTCTTACACGTGTCAAATAACAATTTCATTTCCCGATTCAGAAGTGAATCCGTTGATTATCCAAATATTTTATTATATTCAACTCAATATCCAAACATTGCAGGGCTATTCACATAGTATGTATATGTGGATAAGATAGAAATTGAAAGCTATTATTTCATGTCCAAAAGGCATTGGGGAACTCCTTCAATACAAGCTACCAGACTATGATTCTATATCCTAAGATAATCCATATAAGGCTATGATATTATTGGAAGTTCTTTCCATTACATAGTTAACGCTGTAAGTCACCTAATTACGTCCCTCTACCATATAAGAGTTAATTTTAATACATTCAACAGCTTCAACTTATCAGGCAAAGCCCGAAATATTTGAGCGAAGAAGGCGCAAAGCGATCCATATGACCACATATACAATAAATGAAATCTGGAAACCCTGTTGTGGATTCTGAGCTATTTAAAAAGGTAGCTGGTATTGTTGACCCCATCTCACTCCATATCCGCCCCAATGAGATGTTTCTTATCTATCCCTGGTTTTTGCTAGAATAGCTAAAGCATATTATTTCTATGCATGTAATTTGCCACTGTTTTGCCTAGTTACGTCTCGATTGTTGTCTCGTACAATTTGTTAAGTGTAAGAAGTACCCATCACGCGAAAAAGATGATATTGGCGCAGTGTAAGATTTACTTACACAAATGAAACATGCTACTATTTTAGAAAGTATATAACAAACCATACTAGTACCTATATATTTCTATCATAAGAAATATGTATTAAATTTGGTTCTGGTCAAAAACTAACTCAACGCTGAGTGATCATAACATTATAAATCCAACTCGCTTTTATTTCGCACGGATTATTTTCAGTGTTGACGAATTGAATAAATCAGGTTGTTGGCTATTTGTATATGCCCGACAATAACACTCCCCTTCCTTTTCCCTCTTCCTTTTCCCCTTTCCTTCTTCCCCTTCCTTTTCCCCCTTCCTTCTCCTCCTCCTCCCCTCCCCCTCCCCCAGCCTCGTTTCCTACGCCACTGAAATGCCATCTTTGTTTTAATGTCACTATGACATATTCATATGATAAGCATGTGGTAGCTAAATTGTTACAACACAGTGGTTGTCGACAGATATCCAACAAAACAACCAACCAGTGGCCTCGTCTGTGATTTATACGTATGTGTCTGTACACACCTCCCCAACCTCGCCCCTATCTCGCCAGTGCTGCTCGCACGTCACTTACACGTGTTAACACGTTCACAGCATTTGACAGAGCTACTTCAGATGAGGTTATCTGAGGCGGGTTTACAAATTATGACAAATTAAACAAGTCTGTATCGTTTATCGTTTGATAGTAAATGTTTGAGCACCGTCTGGTGTGTGTTAGATCGCCCAGAGTATCTAACTATAGTACTTCCTTACGGTCGACAGGCAAAGGTGGTACCAACGCCTTTCTGAAATAACTGGGATATTTTAGATTAAGGTAACTTGTGTTTTCTTTCATTTTTTACTTTTTTTTAACAGAGACACAATTTTACTTTTATTATTCCAGTTTATACAAAATATTATCGCAATGGACCAAACATCGCTCCATATTATGATATGTTAATGGTGTCAGACAGACCAATGATGTATGACTTTTACCTCACGTGACATGTATTAATCCAATCATTGTCTCACTTTCACTTCACGTGAAATATATCAAACTAATCATTTTCCCACCGTTACGTCACGAAAGACATATTAAGCGTATCACCGTCCCACTACTTTTACTTCACGTGGTATATATCAATTCAATCACTTTCCCACTTTTACATCCTCTAAGATATATTAAACTAATCACCGTCCCATTCTTACCTCACGTGATGTATGATCAACCAATCAATGTCCAACATTTATCTCACGTGATGTATGATCAACCAATCAGTGTCCTACTTTTACCTCCATGAAATATAATAAACCAATCATTGCCCTACTTCTATGTCTAGTTACAAATATTAAAACACTCACTTTCTGACAGTTCACCATGGTAAATGCTAACACATACTTCTATATACATTAAGGCACTCACTATTTGAAAGAACGTGATTAGTATGATTTGCTACATAAAAGTGAAAGTTAAAAAAGAATAGCTTATCTTAATCGAATGGATACATTTCTGCAAAATATATAGAACCTACATTTGATCTATAATAGCTACAGTAGTAAGCACACAAATAGAATTATCAATTCAATTTGATTTATGAACATATTAGATATCGGTTGACTAAAACAATAAATTCGCAAACTCTAGATCATCTTTAAGTCTGCCGATACAGTATCTACGACAATAAACATCATTAGGTGATCTCCCCTTTCGTGCGTACAGGGATGCAGATGCTGCCAGAGGCATGCCATAGCTCGGGACAATCTAGATAGCAAAGAGCTGCAGCATTTGTCATACAACTCACTGTTACATATCAATAGAACAGACTCCATTATGTCGGGGTAATTGGTTTTGTTAAAGATTATTGCATTCGAATAAAAAAGTTTTCAAATATGATAACTAACTAAATTTTGATATACTTCACAGTATGATGGAATGAACATACCTCGCCATAAATAGCAAATTACGTATGTACCTCTCTTACACCAATGGCGGCACCAGGAATTTTAAAGGGGAATGAGGGTTACTTGCTAAAACGTCATTTTAGCATGATTAATAAACGATTCGGTGATTAAAGGAGATATCCCAAACGTCTGTAAAGCGACCGATGTAGGTTCTAGTGGGAAGTACTTGTAACAAAGTATGTGGAAGATCTGGACACCCCTCGTTAAAATAGTTATTGGTTAAAATTAACTACTATGGTGTCATTTTCACAAATGTCCATGTCAGTAGTCCCAATACATCATTTCACCACTTTTGAGAAGATTGTTTGACTGAAGGAATAACAGACCATGGACACATACTCTGATCCCTAAACAAGATAACATAAATCAGTACGGCGTACCTGATGGACGTATGTTGCTTTACATGTCATTATTAACATTTTTTGTAACAATGAACAATAATATTCATGTCGTACAACACAAAAGAAAGATCAAGAAATCGCCTTACCTGTAGGGAGCAAATCCATAGCTGAGTGTAAGAGAAATATTCCCCGTTTTGTAATGAGACCTGATAGAATGGAGACTTGTGCAAAATGTTGTATATATCAGAAAGATTTGGGACCTATAGGCACACATGGCCCATCACAAGCCAAATGCTGTTGCAGATAGGTTTTATGGTTTTGAAGGAGTACTACAGAGAATCTTCTACGAACTACGACCCAATTCGTTTTCAGATCAAAGGAATCTTTAGCGGAAGGCTGCTGGCAGCTGACCGGCAAATGAGTTAAGAGTAGTCTAATGTTACACTTCAAAGGGATGCTGAATATTAGACCCTCCAAATATACTACAAGTTAAGTTCCAATACTGCTGATATGCCGAGGTGCCTCCCTGAATTAGCCCATCAAAGGCGGAACCATGGCCTCTCCTAGGCCTTAATCTATTGCCAACCATCAACAGAGCCGCTGGCTCCTTTGAATTGGCTACTGACTGTTGTAGAGATAAGCGTTTTTCCAAAATGTTCAATTGAATTAAGCTACAGCAGAGAATAGACGACTACTGAGACAAGCCTTTGAACATGTAATCAAAACCTACGTGCATGCTGTATGTATCGTAACTAGTAAACAGTGCACTGTGCTTTTTTTCCACATTCTGCCGCATGCTAACATTCTGTGCGAGAATTACGCAACCATTTGCGAGCTATTTACAAAGTCCAATGGTCGTTTGAAGATAGCATACAGTTTTGAAATCTGTATTAAATTAGAATGCAGTGTGTAATGTTTTAAGAAGATCAATGTTGGATCCATGAATTGGTATAAACTGATAAAACCAGTGTCCCCTCCGAACCTTGGGGGTAAAACGTTCATACCAAATGGTTTGATCATTATCAAGTATAATATTGCCCTGAGGCAGGTCCCCCTATCTGTCGAAGTAACAAACATGCGCACTCTAGTTTTACACGGAATGCATGTGAAGCCATTATGAATACAGGAGTAAGTTCTCCATCCTTCATACTGTGAACAGTTTTATATTTTTTGAGTACATGTCTTCGCAATATGTCTCATAACAACTTATTCGTAAGAATACACATGCTACATATATATATGTATGTGGAAAGGCTTAAGCGATCTAAATTCACCAATTGCTTTTATTTTGAATTCTTCAAAATTGTATTTATTCGATTCATATGCAGACAAATTAAATTTCGCAAAATGTGATAAAGAACAAACTTGGTGCTCGTGTGTCGCGGTAGTTGGCACACTCGAATTTCACCAAGACAGCCGCTTTTCATTTTTCCGACAGGACTGAAAATATATGGGTTAACCTTTCCGACATCTTGGGTTTTCCCCAGGTTTTCGGTTCCCTCTCATTAAAGCAAAACCTTTCCGCTTTTATGCTTGTTAACAATAGTAATTAATATGCTTTAAACTTTGTTTCAAAATAGTTGTAAATTATAAAGGGGGACTTTTACAGAAGTCCCCAAAACCCTCGCAGTTATGTTCGCGGTGCCAAAACTCACCTACTTATGAAATTTGAGCAAAATCGACAAATATCTAATTTCGACAAATCAGAGGCCGTGACGGCCATCTTTGTTGACCGATCGGAAAATGAAA